TAGGAAGAATGGGTGTCATGTGACCAGGGAAGTGCTTTAGAGCAGGTGCCAACATATGAGCTGCTCCCCACCTGCCTCTCATAGGGTGGATTGGGGAAATTTGGGGGAAGGGAGTTTCTTTGCAGCTCTGACCAGATCCATCTTATTTTCAGATTTGATCTATTTTTGCCAGGTTCTGCTCTGCACCAAATCCGGTCCTGTTCTGTTCAATTGCTAGACAGTTATCCTGCTGAGAGATAACAGTCTAAAGCCCCATTTTTTTCTTTCTTTCCAACATTCCTTTGGGTGGAAAACAATACATATTTTAAAATTTCCTAAATATTACTCAGAGATTACAAGCAGGTGTCCAACACAAAAAAGTGTCCTCTAGGTATCACCATCCATAAACTTGCAATCTAGTAGAGGCAGCTCAAAACAGGAAAGGAGGTATATTATAAAGATATATTAATGATACATCTTTGTCTAGTGCAGAGTGCTTACCGGTGGGATTTCGCTACATGTAGAAATTATTCATCTTTACAAAAGAAAAAAAATCTGTGTTATGAATATAGCCAATTTGCCAGGCTGCAAGCTCATTCCCGTAATACACACACCCACAAGTGAGACATGGTTCTTGGTCACATACAAAGTCCAATTGCTCCAACCCCTCCCTCTGCTGGAGACAGAAAAGGTTTGGTCCTTTCAAAATAAAGGGAAGCTCATGAGAAGTCTGTGGATGGAAGCTGGGTAAAAGTAAGGTTTTCCCTCTCCCCAGCAGCTTTTGAATTAAAGGCTGGAATATCCTAGGATAACTGGAAAAGTCCAAGGTAACTGAGGCCCTTGTGTTAGGATTTTATTTCTACTTTCTGTGTTGCATTAAAGTCCCATGTTTTCTAAAACTCTGAACAAGCAATGAAAAGTTAGGTTTACTACCAGACTTCAGTCATAGAACATGTTCATAAAACTATAAACTTTCCTTTAGAATCTTCCTGTAATTTGTAGCATCATGGGGCAGAGATCTCTATTTGTAGCAGACTAGCACCATCCTATGATCTGTCTAGAGCACTGTTATTTTCTTTTGGATTTTGCCTTTTTAAATAATTTGCCAATTGTTGCCCTTAATCTGGGCAATTCCACTATTTATATTCTTCAGCATTAAACATTTGTTAGGTAGTATTTAATATTAATATTTAAGTCTACACTTTCCTCATATATATAAAAATGTTTGATTCTGTTAATCTCCTTTCATTGGTTTATCTCCCAATGGAGGAAAGAAGGGCTGGATCCTCTAATCACCATGCTTCCACACTACATAACTAGATGGTAGCACTGTTAAAATTAATTCAATTTTTGCATTTTGATCCCTGGACTGCTAGGAGGTCAAACCAGTCAATTTTAAAGGAAATCAACCCTGATTGCTCA